TTTTTTTTTTTTTTTTTTTTTTTTTTTTTTTTTTTTAATTTTTTTCTTTTTTTTTTTTTTTTTTTTTAATAAAACATCAAAATATAAATTATTATATTATATATATATATAAAGGACATGATTCAGTAACTTCTCTTCAGTTTCGTCTTTCGAATATTTTTGTCCCTGTTTCGACTTTTTTTTATTCACTCGAAATATGTATAGGGTGGACTAAAAATTTCTCCCTTTTTTTTTTTTAATAAAACGTCAAAATATAAATTATTATATTTTATATATATTTATATATATCTATAAAAAGGACATGATTCATTAATTTCTCTTTCGAATGCCTCTTTTATCCCTGACTTTTATTTATTCGAAATATATATATAGGGTGGGCGAAAAGTCTCACCTACTTTCTTTTCTTTACTACGAAACATAAAGAAAATCACAAATTACAAATTATTTTAGCTAGGAAGTGACTTTTGGCCCACTCTGTAGATATTTTCGCCTCGATGTTTCGCGCGCGATTATTTTAATTACTATAGAAACTAGATCGTCGTTCGCCCGATCAAATTTCCCCGCCATCGTTATCGTTATCTATCGCGCGTTATTAAATTGCCGCGCGTTCGCAGATGAAAATCTGCCCGTGGACGCGCAAATGGCGCGCGCGAGTTTCCCATTTATTTATTTTATTTCTTTTTTTTTTTTTTTTTTCGAATCGGAAAGTATAATTCGCCATTGTATTGTAATCGTGCGTCGCATTGACTCACCCGATAGTTTGCATAAAATTTACCGAACGAACGAATTAATCGTGTTGCTGTTCGTTCAAATTACGATTTCCTTGAAATACTTTGTGAAAAATTTGTAGCGAACGTTCCCCGTTTTAATACGTGCTCGCTCGTGTACCGGTAATTTCACGATTAGTTTTAATTAACTGGGTAACCACGTGCAGGAACATTGATGAATATTGATTTGAAAAAAGCGTCTACATATGAATGCGTGCGTGTATGTGTGTGTGTGTGTATATAAAGGAGGATAATAAAGCGCAGCCTCAGCATGTAAATTGTTGTATGCAGAAGCGTTACATAGATACTTGAACGTGTAACGCGCGTTATAAGTTTACATCAACGCTGTGTCGATTGAATTCGATTGTTTCCCACGATTGAAACATACAGCATTTTTCTTCATTCACCCGGTGATTCATTTTTATTCATTTGTATTTATAATTGAATTTTCTAGTCGAAGTTTACACTTCTAGCGTAAGTTCGTAGTCAAAGTAGACGAAAGTGGATGTTTCTTTTTTTTTTTTTTTTTTTTTTTTTTTTTNTTTTTAGAGAGAGAGAGTGCGAAAATCGAAATAGAATTATATAAGACGTTCGAAAGTAGAATCATAGAGTTTATAAAACTTGGCGAAAATTTTTCTTTGACTTTACGTTTGCAGATATGTGGAAAATTTAGTAAAAAATTGAGATGTATGAAAATTTGCGTTCCCATCTCTGAATATAAAAATATATATATTTATAAATGTATATATATTATATTATATTATTTTTATAAATATATATATAATTTTAATATTGTAAATATAATTTTTATAAATACATATATATTTACAAAAATAAATATAAATGTATATATATTATATATTATATTATTTTTATAAATATTTATATATTTACAAAAATAAATATATTTATAAATGTATATATATTATATTATATTATTTTTATAAATATTTATATATTTATAAAAATAAATATATAAATATGTAATGTGTTAAAAATTTAGTAAAAATTTGAGATGTATGAAAATTTGCATTCCCATCTCTGAATATAAAAATATATATATTTATAAATGTATATATATTATATTATTTATATATATATATATAATATATTTGTATATATTATATTATATTAATTTTATAAATATGTATATATTTATAAAAATAAATATATAAATATATGTGTTAAAAATTTAGTAAAAAATTGAGATGTATGAAAATTTACATTCCCATCTCTGAATATAAAAAAAAAAATATGTATATATATTA